TATATATATATATTTGTGCTGATAAGCCTGAGTGGTCTGTTGACTGACCTTTGTATTTGTTCATATAATTGTTATGGGCAGGTTGCAATATAAAAATGCTTGTTATAATCATGTCTTGTGATTTTTTGACAGGAGTTTTACTTTTAATCTGTAGTGTATTTAATTTAGTTGTGTTAGTTATGATGTAAATACAATAAAAATTAAACCAAGATTTAGATTAGAATAATTATCATTTTGATCCATACATTGGTAATGTCTGATTGGGCCTCGTGCCATTTTATGTTCAACAAATTGGGCCCCGAGGTCAAAAAGGTTAAGAACCCCTGGTCTAGTCCCAATGAGTCATCAGGCGGGTATCATGCATTCTGACCCAGATATGAAATTCTCCTCCGATGACAAATATGCCAGTGAGGTGTCACCAACACACMCACCTTTAGACTAGTGTTGGAGCGCTGCTGTGAAGAGTCAGTGAACCTCCAGCCCTCTGTGCCTGGAGTCTCAGCTCTGCCATGGGAGTCTGGGATTATCAGAGATGCTCCTCCAGACGAAGGAAAAATCCCCAAAGAAAGAGGCCGCTCTCTCCTTCAGATGTAAGAGCATTGAAAAAAACACTTTACCCCACCCAAAAAAAAAAAGGCTTTACTGCGTGAATGTTGTGGTTTTCTACAGCACAGACTTGTCTTACCTGACTCGGCCGATGTTGCTCGACTCGGAGGTCTCGCTTATCTGCTGCATCTTGATCCTCTCTACGTGCTCCATGTAGTTATGGATCATCTGTGGAGTCGAAGCAAAACACTCGTGACTTAACGATTACAATTCAACAATATTTCCTTCCCCACTCCGTCCTTTCACTTTTCCTCTTTATTTCACCTCTGAGTGCCTCTGATGGAGGGAGTTATATTCCTTCTTCAGTTCCACCTCTCGTTCTTCTAACCTGCTGACTGAAAGAGACACCAATAACTGTCACTTAAAGATGCACACCTTTCATGGTCCAAACAAAAAACACACACAAAGAAAAACATTTTAAAAACGGAAACAAAATGGAATTAAAAACATCAGTCCTGGAAGTTTGCAGAATTGTTCACTACATTGTTAAAAACTGAATTAAATGTATGAATATGTTCTCAGGGATTTTATGAGGCAAAGGGAATAATCTCATTCAGATAGGTTTTAGTGTTAAGCTGACTTGCGAAATGACAAACACACCTAATCCTCTGTTAGAGCCTCAGCTTTAGCCTAAACCAGGCTTTGAGCTGCAGACACATGAACAGTATAAAGTCTAAATACTATCAATTACAGAATTACTAAGGCTTCTGCAGGCTGGCTGAGGATGTCTCGCCTATGTGTGTATTTTGACATCACAGAGAGGGTTTATTCTTCCGGTGTGACTCATCAAATCACTGCAGACAATTTATAAAGAGAAGAGAGACGAGCTGAAAGGACCAGTCTAGGCTGTGTTAGCTGGTATGATAAATCACTGAGGAGGCTGAATATTAATATGATATCATATTAATGTATTGTCTAAACGGACTGCTTAAAAATAAATGAATAAATGACTGCTGCATGTATTTGATGTAACAGAGTTGCAATAAGCCTATGCAATGTTTTGTTTTGTTTTGTTTTGTTTTGTTTTGTTTTGTTTGTATTTAGAGTGGGGAAAAATGTACATGTCGTCCATTTCTGTGTATAAATGATGTTGATGAAAAGAAATCAAGATTAGAACTTGACTGTTACGTTTTTTTCTACGGAAGATAAAATCTATCAATCAGAGCAGCCAGTGGCCAATACATCAGCATTTCCTTTATTTCTTATCTATTTTAATTTTGGCTAATTAATAGATCTACCTCTAATTAATACACATAATCAGGGTTGCACATAAAGGTTTAGGTCTGGTTCTCAGGGGAGAACCTGGGGTTGTTTCTTGGTGCTCATATTTTCCTTAACTCATTTAACACATTTATCTAGAGGGGTGTCAGAGCATTTACAGTATTATCYCCCTGTTCTGTTTTATGACGCCTTCTATCAGCTGGCAATGTCTCGGGACATCATGCCAAATCAGTTTTTTTTTATTTTGTTTTGTTTTTTTACTCTGAATAAATTTTGAAAACTACCTAAGTGGCCAATGGGCTGACCCACGGTCATATGTCATCTCAAACTGAACAGTTCATGTTTAAATGTATGTTGGATTGCATATGACCTTTTGGCCTTGTTTAAACCAGCTTTCCACACTCTCCAGACCAAGCAGCAAATATCTGTCTTTTGTGCAAAACAAATGTTTTATTTGTTACACTGATTTATTTTTTAATACTATCTGATACAAAAAGATTATATTTAGATGGTTTCAGCTCATGTAATCATTTAAAATTATTTATTCTTCATATTTTATTATTTGTTGAATTACATTTATCCCAGAGCAGTTGTGTCACAGTGTGATTCTAAATATAAACATGTTTAGCACATCAGGAACCTTGTTCTTATCATAAAATTGTGAAGAATGAAATTTGTGGATCTGATTCATAAAGATTATATTTAGATGGTTTCAGCTCATGTAA